TTTGATTTTTTCCAGCGTAACACTTTGTGTTAGAATATGTGAGTCTATATCAAGATTGCTTTAAATTGTTTACCAGCATTTTCAACGTGCATTAAAGTGAAAACTGTTATTTGTCAAGACAATTTGTAGAAAAACTCAAATGTCAAAACGAACGAACAGAGAGGAGATCCTGACTCTCTGCCCTAACGAAATGCCACTCGTGCAGCTCAGTGAATTACAGCTGTTTTCTAGGCCACAGGAGACCCTATAAAACCATTTTACATGCATGTGTTAATTGGCAGTTTGGCATTTTAACTTTAAAGTCAACACGCACAAGCACAACAAACCAAACTGCTGTTAACGTCAACAAATCACAGTCTGTTGTCTCCTCTTGCCACTTTGTCCTTTCTTTATATTCATTAGGAAGCTTTTAAGTTAACGTCAGGTGTCCTTCCTGACCTCTGACCTCCTTCTGTGCTTGTTTTGGGCGTTGGGCTCTACAGAAAACACCCCGTGACAAACCTGAACCCGACAACCACAGCACGGTCTAAAGAAATGTTTTCTAAAATCTTTAAAAAAATCATCCATAAAAATTCCCTCATCCAGTCGTCCAGAAATATCCGCCGTGATGCGTTTACTGACACGCCTGAGTACCAAACCAAACAAACAGAAGCTCCTGTAAACAGGTCTGAGAAGCACATCTGGCCACGACGCAGCGGAGCAGCTTCACATCATCTGTCTGCCGTCTGATCTAATTAAGAGGCCAGATTGAGTCGGTGTGATGCTGTTACACACTTCTGCAGCAGCAGACCTCGCCGGCGGACACATTACAGCCGCCAGATTAGATTAACATAAACTGAGCGCATGTTTCCAACCTCTGCTCCGACCGGGAAATCAACTCGAGCTGTACGTGCGACCGGCTTCAGGGAGACTTCCTCATGCATTATGAATTAAAGTGTGCCACTGTTGCTGATGCTGCAGATCACGGGGTCAGACATGACTGAGACGGGGACCCAGGTGACGTGTTGTTTGTAGCAAACAGAGCCCGCAGAGCCTGCAATATTTTATTATATTGTTATATTTTGTGCAGCTTTAGGAAAACTAAGAAAATGTCTTGGCCAGATGTTCACTCTCCTCAATTTTCCCTTCACTGTAAAATTAAGCACTCTGTGTTTGTCCGTCAGTCTGCTCTTGACCTCTTGGCCTCTTAATCTTTGAATTCAGCTGTTTTCAGTCCCGGTGCCGCCCGTGCATAAAGTCAAACACCTCAGCGCAGTCTGAGTTTGTGAACATTTGAATGAGCTGTTCTAACAAACTCACTGAATTCAACTGTAACAGGATGCTACTGTTGCAACAAGCTCGTTTGTGAAATCTCTTCCTTCCTAAATATTGCACGATTAACTGTAAGATGTTGTTATTGCAAAGGCGAAGCACTTAGGAAGCACAGCAACCGAGCCATGAGAGAAAAAGTGACACTGACTTTTCCCCGTAGCCGTCACCAGCGCTCTGCAGAGTCCAAACCTCCTCTGATATTAACATCGGCACAAAAACTGTGCACCGGGAGCTTCGTGGTATGGGTTTGCATGACTCGTGCAGGTGTACTGTAGTGCTGTATACTGTACATGGTGAGTTTGTTGCTGGATACCCAAGTAAGCAAAGTTTCAAGTTTGAGGTCATTTAGATCAGCGGTTTATGTCGACAATATTTTCACGGACTGGCCTTTAAGGTGTCACAGATAAATACAACAAAATAAAACCAGTACGGTACCAAAAAAAAAAAAAAAAGACCCAGGGAAACCGAACTAATGATAGAAACAATTTAAAAAATAATACTGAAAACCAATAAAAACCCTGAAAACCATAAATTTCACACCCGAGCATCAACTCTCGCGACCCGGCACCAAACGACTCACGGACCGGTACCGGTCGTGGCTCAGGGGTTGGGTTAGATGAGTCCCTCTCATATTACAATCATTCATTTATTACTCAGAAGGAAAACTGTGGTATGAACTGCACTGTGTCTCCTGAAAGTACCTACAGTTAGTTTTTATGTCTTTATTATTAAGAATTTGTTACTATGTATTATATCTTATAAGATATAATACATAGTAACAAATTCTTGTTACTATGTAACAAATTCTTGTTACTTCACTTGGTAACAACCCTGACGCTTGACTAGCTTTGAACCAGGAAATCTGCTGATCCTGGCGCCTCTTTTATATTGTGTATAAGTAGTTTCATGGGATGCTTGATGCTTCAGTTTACAACCTAGCTTTCTCTTCTTCTATATGAAATATACTTTCTGTCTTCTGCACTGACTCCTTCACTTATTTATTTACTGAGGATTTTACCAAAGCCAAAAACTGCAGTTCCTCTACTGTCCACTTGAGGCAGTCTCCAAAAATTGATGCTAAACGTCCAACTTTACAGTAGAGACATCCTGCTAAAAACAAACCCAGCTTTGGCCTCTACGGCTAATTTCATCCTTTCAGAACTGTGCTGGGTTAAACTCTTCCAAACATGTTTTTTACTTTAATATTTGATATAATACACGTTGCCGTGCAGCCAGTTGTAGCACCAGCTTGTTGAAGAAGTCTGTGCTCGTGTGGTGAGTGAATCGCTACCATTTCTAGGCCTAGTTAACACGAACTGTTCCACGCTGTTGTCCAACAAACATGACAAAAACAACCCCGGGACATTTTATGTGCAGTCTTTGATGTTGCTAATAATTCATTAAGACTGAAACACGTCAGAAAGCTAAAGTTTCGCTCTCAAAACTGAGTCGTTGTTCTTTTTGATTACATAACCTGGACACAAACGTAACTCCATACCAACGTTCAGTCACGCGTGAAACAGAAATACATTCAATTGACATACTGTCCAAAAATAGCATCATAGTCGACCTTTGCAGGGGGACACTGCTGGACAGAGTACAGCTGATTTATAGAAATGTGTCCATTAGATCGACGACACTCTGACATGTTGTTGTGGGACAAAGACCTTTCAAGCTGATGGTAGGACACGTCAGATTTTGAGAGGACGTAACCCGACTCCCCTGAAGCCTTAACAGCCCCCAACACAGACACACACACACAGATACACAATGAATTAATTATTCTTGCCTACATATAAGTGTATGTAGAACAAATACACTTCAGTCTCGATTTTAAGGCCATCAAATTAACATTTCCTTCAGAATGAACAGTAAATCTGAACCGTGTGCCATCTGGTTTCAGAAATATCACCACACCACCAGCTGATTTCACAAACACGCACACCCACGCCGAGCTGAGACTCGGTCCTTTTGGTACCTGAGCTCAGAAAAGCAGGAAAACTCAAAATAAACCTCAGTTTCCACCAATTTAGAGCCAAATATCCTCTGAAATCAAAGCTGTCAGCGCTGCGAGGACTCCTTCAAATGTTCAAATGCACTGCAATTGGATCAATATTACAGCTTGTCTTATTTATCACCTGCTGATGAGCACATTTTTACTGCCAGGAGGATGTAAGACGACTATTTTATGCCCCGCGTGCAGAGAAACTCACAGCCAGACTGGACAGCTTCGGTCCACAGCAGTCTAAAACCGTCCCTCCAGGTTTCTCCCAGCGGACGCCGTTCTGGTTCGGTCTCAGGAGTTGTTGGAGCGACTTTAGCCGACTCCTCAGTGCTCTGATGAGGCCGACGAGAGCGCTCACGCATGCCGGCTTGGCCTCGGCGGTGGCGGCGCACTGTGTCATCACAAGCTGAACTGAACCGAGGAGCCGGGAGCTGCAGCGGCGATAACTTTGGACTCAGGCGGACAAACTAGTGTGTGTCTGTGAGTCAGTGTGAGGGGATACCCGGAGGAAGAGGAGGAAAAGGAGAGGAGGAGGAGAGATCCAAATCCAGAAGGGAACTGGGATCCCCCCTCCCGCCCCACTTCTCTCCAGTCCTCAACCAACACGCAGCTGTAACCTTCCACCCAGTGTTTCCACCAGGTGTCCTGGAGATCCCCACTCCCTCACATAACTCTCCGACCCACCACTAAATACCACAAGGAAGAAAACTCCCACATCTATTTTCACACTCAGGCGTTCACATCCCACATGCAGATTTCACTTAAAAATATCAATGAGTGCGATCTTTAAAGTGTCAGCTGAACACGCTGGAGTGTAAATATTTCATTTAAGACACAGATTCATTCATCTACATGTTTACTCCTTCTCATGCTGACTCACACAGACAGGAAGGTCGTTGCAAATACACAAGAAGAAGAAATCTATCAGAAATCAGGGGTTTCCCCGCAAAGATACTTCTAATAAATAGACACACAAAAAGGCCCATTCAGAGGCTGTTAATGTGCATACTGGTGATGTTATTGAAGTCTAATTATTACCAAACTATAATAGAAGACTGTTTTAACAGCTATTTATAGACTGTTTTAATAAGGTTGGGTTTGTGAATAAAGTGTGACACTGACATGAGCAAATACTAAAGTTCAAAATCCAATCAGGGGCACATTTAAGCCTGACAACACTGTGGAATCTTTTCTGTACAATTTCCAGGTTAAACAACATCATTCCTTGGAAAGTTGTGCAACAGTGTGCAACTGCCTTTTAGGTATGTTTCTTCCCAAAGGAGAGGCGTGGCAGAGCTGATTCCCTGTCAGCACCTTTGTACGCTGAATATTTTTAATGCCTCTATTTGTGTTTAGCATACCTGTATGGCT